AAGAAGAAGGAAAAAAAAGAATATTTTATTGGCTGAGGCAAGAGAATCTCTTAAGCCTAAGGGTTTGAGGTTAAGAGTAGAATGCCACGGCACTCTACTGAGGCGGACATGTGTCTCAAAAACAAAAAAGAAAAAAAGAAAAGAAAATTTTGGCTCAGCTCCTGTGGCTCAAGCAGCTAAGGCGCCAGCCACATACATTTGAGCTGGCGGGTTTGAATGCAGCCCAATCCACCAAGCAATAATGACGGCTGCAACCAAAAAATAGCCGGCCATTGTGGTGGGCGCCTGTAGTCCCAGCTACTTTGGGAGGCGGAGGCAGAAGAATTGCTTAAGCCCAGGAGTTGGAGGTTGCTGTGAGCAGTGATGCCATAGCACTTCACCCAGGGCAACAGCTTGACGCTCTGTCTCAAAAAAAAAAAAAAGAAAAAAGAAAAAGAAAAAGAAAGAAAGAAAAGAAAATTTTAAACCACACTTAGTAGTTCTGGTTTTGTTATTATGAATGCTGGCAAACAGGTAATACTTATCATTAGGAACTAAAGTGTGCAACAAAAGAAAAAAGATTCAAACATAAAATCACACATGTAAAAATTCTATAATTTGAAGATTGAATTGGAATACCAGTAAGGACTCACGATTTATATTACTTTAATAAATATCCATTCCTTGCTCTGTCCCCCCAAACACTGTGAAGCAATTATTACCCAGTCACAAAGATATTTCTAGACTGTGTTCTCAATACCATTTTCCTTCTTAAAGAAACCAAGACATCTGTTGTGCTAGGAAATAAGCCAATGAAGACGACCAGAGTTGTGAGAAAAGGTGACACAGAGGCTAACTTGAAGGACCCAAGGAGCCACTAGCCAAAGGGAGTCAATTTGAAAATCAAAGGGTTAATGACCACCATCACTTGAAACACTAAGTATGCACAACAAATCTGTGACCACCTTTGGGAACTGCTTTGGCACTAACTTTACATTACATCAAATAGTCAATAAATGTGAAGTCTTCTTTATAGAATTACACAAAATAAATATAGCAGGAATGCCCGTGTGATGGCTCATGCCTTTAATCCTTGCACTGTGGGAGGCTGAGGCAGGAGGATTCCTGGAGCTCAGGAGTTTAAGACCAGTTTAAGCAAGAAAGAACAAGACCCTGTCTCTACTAAAAACAGAAAAATTATCTGAGCATTGTGGGCGGTGCCTGTAGTCCCAGCTACTCAAGAGGCTGAAGCAGGAGGACTTCGTGAACCCAGGAGTTTGAGGTTGTTGTGAGCTATGATGATGCCATGGAACTCTACCCAGGGTGAAAGAGTGAGACTCTGTCTTAATAATAATAAATGCTGTAGGAACACAGAATTTTTAAAAATCACCATTTTGCAACCCCTAATGAAATAAACTAAAAATAATCACTAAATGATTGCTAAAACCATTAGGTAAAAGGTTAATGGGATACCTTATAATGGAAGGATCAAGCTGGCAAACCTGAACACAGCGGTAAATCTTAACATCCTCACAAATGGGTCAAGCAGCCGCTGTAGACAGAAGTACTCCTCACCCCATGAAGTGCGCATCCTGGAAGCTCCAGTTTCAGAAGAAATTCACACCGTTACTACTGTGACACCTGCACTCACATTACCACAGTCCAAAGCACCTTAGTCGGTGTCTGCATCACTGCCTATCTTGCTCACCTCAGCAAGTCAGTCATGTTAGCCTTTTGCAGAAGACAGTCAGATCACGTCACTCTTCTGATTAAACCATCCAGGAGTCCATCTCACTAGTGTAAAAGCCAAAAGTCCTTGCAAAGGTCCATCACGACACGATCTGCTGTCCTCCTCCATCTCTCTGGCCTCACCTATCACTCTCTCCTTTTCTCACTGTGTTTGAGCCGACTGGCCTGCTTTCTTTCCTTAAACATGACAACAGTGTTCTAACTTCAGAGCCTCAGAACTTCTCCTTTCTGCCCGGAACACCAGCTCTGTCTCTAGCTTATCTTTCTACTTCCTTTAGGACTTGGTTTTACAAGTCATCTCATAAAAAGATCTGCCCTCGTACCCTGGGCAAGACTAAAATATCTGCCTGTTTTCCTCATCTGACAGAGAATATGGAAGGAAAACAAATTATAAGTTCTAGACACAATAATCTTCAAACATAGTACCAATTTTCAGACCTTTCTCTATGTCTAAATATCTACACTATTCCTTTTAAGATTCTTACGTTCCAAATTCAAAGAATTAATGATCTACTGTACTAGTGTAGAGGACTTCAGGAGCCAGACGACCTCTGGGCAAGATGATTTGCAGCTGGGGGGCAGACCCTGCAGCAATTTGTCTGCAGGTGTTTCTTGCCAAGAAAGAGCCGGAGCCCCTGGCGATCCTCAGGCACGCAGTCACTGTCTAATACTCCCCTCACCTGTCTTGTACTGTCTCAATAAAAGGCTACTGCAGAGGTTGCTTGGAGCTACCCTGCAGTCAAGATTAGCCCACCTCCTGCAAGCTCGTACTTCTAATCCAAGTCTCGCCTGGTTCCTTCCTGTGGTGATCAATACCAGGGCCATAGGGGCTGCGACAACTGTAGTTTGTGGGGGTTTTGTTGGTGGTGTTTTCATTTTAAATCATCTGTACCATACCTCTAGAAATGAGTGGTGGAAGATGTGAAAGAAATGAATCCCATTAAAAGACAGCAAACTAGCAAAATAAAGAGCATTCCCTTTCTTCCTGCTTCTTTAGGGATTTGTTTGGGATTATATAATCAGATTCCAAGTAATCTCAGGACAAGTTTAACTACTTCAAAATTATGTTACCTTTAAGAACCATGCCCACCTGAAAAGATTTTTAAAAATCTCACTAACTCTTAATATGACTGAACTAGCTATGACATGGCAGTATGTTTGAACTCAATTACTTTTTCTTTAAATAAACAAACTCCCACTGGGCTAAGACCTCTTCTGCCTCATCCTGTGGCTGGCAAACTTCAGTCTTAAGAGAGATAGTCAGAGGACAGAGAAAACAGCAAGTGTGACTCAGTGATCACATTTAATAGTCCCTGAAAACTAAAACAAAGATACCAGTTCTGACACTATCCAGAATTGCCCCCCAACTAACTTTTCCACATACCTCTCATCTGAGTATTTATTTTGTTAGTTTAAGGTTCATAAATAACTTGTTACTTGCCTATGAGACTTTAGGTATAAAAATAAATCAAGATTACAATCAAAACAATTAGCAGAGGTTCCAAAAGTTGAATGATGAAATTTAATGTTAAAAATCTGCTTTGACTGGGCAGGGGGTTAGAGAAAACCCTGGATTATTTTGTACAGAAATGTTCCCACTCATCTAGAAATCAGACTGTGGCAAATTCAGTTACCTGAACAAAGACCAGTTAATACTAAACTTACCTTTATTAAGCAACTTCTATGTGCCACATACTTATATTAGCACACTTGATTCTCAGAACATCTCTATAGGAAAGGTATTAACAAATCAGAGATAACGCCAAGATTTCTAATCTCATTTTGTCTTTTTCACTACTATTAATTTGTAGCAACTTGTAATAAAATTATTAGTCACAAATCCCACATTTGC